AATTCTATACCACAAGTTAAAACTAATATTAACCAATTCTATACCACAAGTTAAAACTAATATTAACCAATTCTATACCACAAGTTAAAACTAATATTAACCAATTCTATACCCTACTCAACACAACTGGCAAATGGATTTTCACCTGAAAATTTACCACAAACTTTGTGTTTCTTATGACATTTTTTTTGGTTACTGGTCTCAGAACAGAAATCTCACTGTTGTTTGGTAAACTGCTAATGAACAAATTCAGTAATTTCTAACAACGTTTACATTACTTTCTTAAGAAAAAAAACAAAACAAAACAAAATTTAACACAAACCACTAAATATTCTGAAGTGAGGTTTGGTATCTAAATTGTGGACAACTATAAAAAAAAAGTATATTTCAACAGCAATGTTTCCGTTTCTAACAAATTTCTCATTTGTGAAATTTTTACAATGTATTCAGTAAAGCACATGTTTTTATATTGCTTGAAAAATATTGTCATCCATCCAGTACTTAACATTTTCATATACATAAAAAAAACCTTCTATATGTACAAAACAATATCTTCATTCAATTTCTGCATTGGTAGTTGCAAAAGTAACAGAATATGTGATATTTATGACTCGAAACAAAGTATAACACGGTATCACACAGAGAAAAGAAACTGATGAAATATACTAAAGGAACTGGTAAAGTTTCCAAACGTTCTGGTTTAAAGTCATTTTACAGTATAAACATGGCCACACAAAATATCACCCACATTTAATAAGAGCACTACTCGCTATATAGTCCATGATAAATTGAATAGAAATAAGAGATATGCATAACTAGTGATGTATTTGCATGAAAAGAAAAAAGGTTTTTACAATAAAAAATACAGCTCAACAAACTTCAAAATCTACAGGTGAACTACAAGTATGTTAAAAATTGAAAAAAAAGGGGTTTTATCCAAAGGATGAAATATACTGAACTGAGTGAAGAAAAAGACATTATTAATGGACTTGCCTGTCCCCCACACCCCAAATTCTCCAGAACTGGACCCAAAAGAAGGTGCAGAGGACCATCTTACGATTTCATATAATCCTTCAGTTAAACAATGTTTTCCTCATGTCATACCCATCCCTCTAAAACTGTGTTAACTGAAGAAAAAATACATGGTGAACTTTACAATTAAAAAGCTTTCAGTAGGTGAAAATATATCAATATTTAGTTAAAGTCTAAGTCAAATTTTAAACTTCGAACCAACTATCACAAGCTTAGGAATGTTTCATGACATCAAAAAAATGTCTTTTGACCGAAATGATGACCACATTCTTTTTCCTACCCACATACACTTTGATGACTTTAATCCCAAATTTTATTTTGTTGAGTTTTGAAAGTAGTAGCACAATTTCTGTTTCAGTGCCACAAATGTTTAAATGGTTCACCTTTCAACATAAACATAATGTCAGCACATCAGTTGATACCTCATGAATGGCATTCTCTCTATCCTGAGTGACGCTAACAGCCCTCTGCTCCTTCGATCTCAAACGTTCAAGCATTTCTTCCAGTTTCCTTTTATCTTCCTCTTCAATTCTGAAAATATACTGTATTATCTCAATTTTGTTGCCCTTCTGGTTTTTAATATCGAAACTATACTGTCAGTGTAATTTTTTTCTCAGCCTTTTATTACTATCCTGAATATACATTTTGCACATGACACGAAAGTTTCTTACATTTCAGAATGCTAAAAGTTTCACAAAAAAAACGAGAAACGTGATTTTGTTAAACACTTCAGAAATCAGTGAGAAGATTGAAATAAATTTAGATTTCCACATGAAGAAAACCTCTAATCTATTAAACATGTTAATACATCTTTTCCAGTTAAGTTCAAGATTCCTACTACAAATAACCAACAGTTTTATCTCAATAAGTCAGATGTTTTCTTCACACAAGTATAACAGATTTAGTTAACAAATATTTCATGGTGTTAGTTACAACATAGGAGTTACTTTCTGTGTTAGGCCTAGCATGGCCTGGTGATTACCTTCACACAAGTATAACAGATTTAGTTAACAAACATTTCATGCTGTTAGTTACAACATAGGAGTTACTTTCTGTGTTAGGCCTAGCATGGCCTGGTGATTACCTTCACACAAGTATAACACATTTAGTTAA